GTATTATTGACATATATCAGGTTGGGTTGAATAAAATCAGGTGTCTTTTACTTCACTGGGGGCTTAACACACCTAGAATAATGTAAATGCAGTAATGGTCTGAGTTGCACTCACAACCCTATCAGGGCAACCAGATGATACGTGCAATGCACAAATGTAAATATGTGAATATGCTTTATGGGAAAATTTCTTCCGAGTAGTGTAACCATACCCACTCATGTGTAAACAAGGGACAATGGCTGCTGATGGGTGGATAAGAATATACTTGGCTGCTCTTCCATCCCTACCTACTTGATCCTATCCATCCTTCCATATTGAGTTTCTTATTACCAGGCTGGGACCAGCCAAAGGCATGTATCCTATGGTTCCCACAGCCAGCCCACCCCACACCAATAGCCCTCTAGAGACTCTGCTGTCAAGAGACTGAACCTGTTGCTTAGTGACACAGCTGCTCAAGTTCATTATATGTTTCCATGGAGTTCTGACTTTATTTTATGCAAAGTCAGAACATCTTATACTCTAAACATCTACAGAACTTTTCACTACACACAAAGGAAAGTTACTTAGAAGCTGTGATATCTATCACTTGGATTATAATTCAAAGGTATTATAAGCATCATTATTGAGGGTCTCTTATTTGCCTGACATCCACTGGGCTGCCTGTGGCATGAATGAGAAGTATCAGCGGCAGCCTGAGCGGTCCTCTTACAGTCTCTTCTCTCTCTCTCTTCCCTCATTCCCTCATTTGGGTATTCAGGGCTCTTATGATGACTCAATGATTAAAAAATGTTCACCAAAAATCAATATTTCATAAGTGAATGAGATGGAAAGTGGCTGGTTAAAATTTAGGACAGTTGAAGATGTCCTGTGAGCTTGCTGTACACAGAATACAAGCTCAGGAAGGCAGGGGAGAACCTTGTATGGAGGGACTTTGATAATTCACTTTGTGGAGTCTACCTAGTCATGTACTATGTGGGCAAACAGTTTAGAGCGATTCCTTAGAGTGCATGAAGACAGACACATCCAGAGAGACACCCGAGGATGCAGGAAGGAGAGGAATAAAGAAACAAACTCACTCTTTAGCTAATTCTTTCATTTGGAAGAGAACATTTTTAACCTCTTATTCTATTTTTTTTTTTTTTTTTGAGACAGATTCTCACCATATCTCCCTGGGTAGAGTGCTGTAGTGTTACATCTTAAAACAACCTCAAACTCTTGGACTTAAGAGCTTCTCTTGCCTCAGCCTCCCAAGTAGCTGGGACTACAGGCGCCTGCCACAATGCCCAGCTATATTGTGGTTATAAATGTCATTGTTGTTTGGCAGGCCCGGGGCTAGATTCAAACCTGCCAGCTCTGGTGTACATGACTGGAGCCCTAGCTGCTGATCCATAGGTGTTGAACCTCTTATTCTATTCTAATTACTGAATTAGAATATGGAGCAACTGGGGGATAGGAGAGCAGGAATTACAAGTCTGGCAGGTATTTCTAAACAGAAATATTTGTAAATGTCGTGGGCCATCCACACAAATTACACATAGCATAGTTCTTCAACTGCTGTAGAGCATTTGCTGTGGTCTATTTTTGTACCTTTGGCTTGCCCCTGGGTTACCTGAAATGTGGTGTTAATGTGAAGTCCTCTTTTGGTAATCAAAGACAAGGAAAGTGCAGAGTTCAAAAGCTCATCTAAGTATGCATAAATAGAACCAAGGCCTTGAATTTGTCAAACTTTAAGGTAATTTTATTCTTCCTTAGCCTTGAGATGTCTCTTCTTGTATTGAATCTGTAACCAACCTCAACTGCTGCCATGGAGAGTGAGAACTCACATGGCCTGGAGTCCTTCTCACCGATATGTGGGTGAAACAACCCTATAGCCTGTTGTAAAGACCTGTTCTCCAAGCCAGGCATTCTTTGACCTCTAGCACGAGCTCCTTCTCCTCACTTATTTTTTATTTTTCATATAATTGCACATACAGCCCATACTTTCTCACACGTAAGGAATGTACACCAAGCTTCATTCATGTCCAGACTCAAAATGAACTGACTTTCTTTTGAGGCTCTGGTTATAAATAGTTCAAATTAGTAGCCCTTCACCAAGATTCATAGTAAAACCTCTTACTATGGTTCAAGAATTGATTTACTTCTTCATTTTAAGTGCTCTGTCTACGTAAAAGTTAAGCATTTTTATATTTTAGATGTATTGTTGTCTTCTATAAGTACTGTGTTAAATAGGAATCATTTGGAAATTAGCTTGGACTCAGCTCTACTTTTGACAATGTTCCAAAAACAGCAACTAACTATACATGAGGGACAACAAAAGGTGCAAGTCATTGGTTGCAGAGATGCTTAGTCTGCATGGCCCATGAATGGGCCATTTTTTTTTAAGAACTTGCAGGACCTTGTCTGTACATTGAAGAGTATGTTAATATATACAGCAGAACCGAGCATTGCTTTGATCCATCTGGAACACTCTTCCATCCCCCTTGGCTCTAACATTCAGATGTTCTCCTGTGATCATTGTGAGCCCAGAGCTTGGCTCTGTCTCATAAGACTCATTTCTACAAAAGAAGCTGAAATCCCAGTCTTTTACATGGGTCATTATGAAAGTTTTGAAATGTACAATCTCAAGAAATATAAAATCCACTTGGATGGAGACAAAGGAAGCCCTCCCAGCAAAACCAATAAGCCCAGCAAGTTGAAACTTGCAGGGGTAAATCAGAATGAACGCTGCAACTGTGTTCTTGAAAGTGAAATAACAGACCATAACACAATCTGTTTCAAAATTTTTGTAGTGACCTACATTTTTCTCTAATTCAGCGGTTCTCAACTTGTGGGTCGCAACCCACAGGAAGTGTAATAAAAGTTCATGGCATTCGGAAGATTGAGAACCACTGCTTTAATGTATTTACTCTGATCTCTCCATCACTTCTCTTTGATGTAAAGAGGATGAGAAGTGAAGAGAGAAACTTATGAGGGTGTCCATCTAATGTGTCCATTTACGGATTTTATAAAATATATCTTTATCCTAATATCGTTTATATCAGTGTAGTATGGCATACTTCAGGATCATTGGCTCTGATGTGATTTAGTCTCCCTTCTAAGAGCACAAAGAAAGGAATAGATTTTTGAGTGTATTAAATGAGAATTCAATTTAGGTTGCTCATATCTTGAAAGGCATTATAGGAAACAATAATAGAGGCCTAAACAGACACACAGGAAGACAGGGGTCACTTTAAATTTATTTTATTTATTTTAATAAAAAATTGTATTTCATTAAAAACTGTATATATGGAGGTTCTATAATACATTAGAAAATAAGTCATGTTGTTTTTATCCTCTGGAACATAACTTTCACATGCAACATAGGCAAACACAGCCAAGTTGAGTGAAAAACAGTCTTTTGGGTTGATCACACAATGATCATGTTCTAATCTGAAAACTGCTGTAAGTACATGACCTCATTTTTGTTTTCTCCATATTATTCATAAATTCAAAGAGTTTTTTAAAATTCTCATTTTTCTGTGATGGAGAGCAGTAGAGTAGCTATGGACCACTCTGACAGTATGACAGAGGCTAGGCAGAGAGAATCAGACATGAAATGCCAGGAGTCTACAAGAAACCTCCCAGCTCCATGTATACATGCTCCCAGCATTTCATGTGCCTCATTCCACACACAAAGTAGCTTTTGCTGAGTTAAATTAAAATGTGTATTTTGAGTTATGTGTCCTGGCTCTTCAGCGGGACACTGTACAGAAGAACCACAGACATACGGAAATACATAGGTCACTTTAAATTTTATTTATTTCTCTCCTCCATGCCTAGACTGTGAATAGAATCAACTTTGAATGATATTTGGAACCTTACAGTTGCAAGCATTGTCTGCCTCCTCCCCTACCACACACGCAGGACCAATGATTTCTCAACTCTGGTATGTGGCATACCCAGACACAGCCATGTACTAGCCATGCACCCTTGCCTATGGTGTGCTTGCAAACTGGACTATTAATATCACTTTACTGCCTCAAAAGACATCTCTCCATTCAGCACTATCTGGGAATAGCTCATTAAGACAATGCTCATCTGGATTAGGAATTATATCTCTATTTTTAAATTACTACCAGCAATATCATTATTTGATACATATTTACCATAATTCTACCTGAACAGATTTCTCATATGTATACTTTCCCTGGAGTCATTACCATCTCAAACTAGGAACAGAATAAGACTCATTTCTTTCATGTGGTGCAATTTTCTAGAAACAGCAATGGGCTCCATATGAGCAAGAAAACTGAATGAATGTATATCTGTGACCAAGAATGTGTTATTCCCAGGTCTATCACGACTGATACAAACAGACCATATGGAAAATCATGACCTTTAATTCAAATACTGGGGATTTCTGGGTGTGGTGGCTCATGCCTGTATTCCTAGCACTCTGGGAGACTAAGGGGGATAGATTGCCTGAGCTCAGGACTTCAAGCCAAGCCTGAGCAAAATGACACTTCCATTTTTACTAAAAGTAGAGAAACTACTAGGGCATTGTGGCAGGTGCCTATAGTCCCAGATACTCAGGAGGCTGAGATACGAGGATTGCTTCAGCCCAAGCATTTGAGGTTGCTATGAGCTATGACACCATAGCACTCTACCTAGGGTGACTGACTGGGACTCTGTCTCAAAAATTAAACAAACAAAAAAATACTGGGGACCTATGCCATAGACCCCCAAACCATATAAGCATACAGATATAGAGATACATGTGTACATATGCATATGTACATATACATGCACACATACATATGTATATCAGGTCCCATAGTGTGTCAAACAGTGTGAGTTCCCTGCAGAAACCAGCTAACATTAGTTGGGCACTTGAGATTTGTGCTTAGTATTATATGTATTTCATGTTATATACAATCAGCAATAAATGGCAGAGTAAGATGATACATGTAGCAGAGGGCCTGGTTGAAATGCCTTATTCTCCAGAGAGCAAGGAGTAAAAGTCATGCTTTAGAACAAGGCAGTGAGAGTAAGCGGATTATGCCATTCTGGATCTGTTGGGTTTTAATGCTATAGATGACAGGGTTCATAAAAGGAGGGAAAAGGAAGTAGACATAGCTCATTGTGATGTGGACCACATGAGGAGCATGCTTTCCAAACCTATGAATGAACGTCAAGCCAACTACAGTGACATAGAAGACTAGGATGCAGCAGATATGGGAGACACATGTGTTGAGGGCCTTTGCCTTTTCTTCTCCAGAAGCAATGCCCATGACAGTCTTGAGAATCAAAATGTAGGAAAAAAAGATTATGAGAAAGTCTAATAGTACCATTGCAAATACAACCACGACTGGATAGAGACGGTTGAAGGAGATGTCAGCACAGGCTAGCTTGATGACATCTTGATGTAGACAGAAAGCATGGGAGAGTACATGGGATCGACAATAGGGAAACCAGTGCAAGCGAATGATTATTGGCATAATTGACAGGCCAGCCCTTGTCAATACCCCTACCCAAATCTTTATTACTTGGGTGTTGGTAAGGATGGAGGTATATCGTAAGGGGTTGCGGATGGCAACAAAACGATCATAGGCCATGGCAAGTAAGACACCTGACTCCACAATTGAAAGAGTATGGATAAAGTAAGCCTGAGAGAAACAGACTCCACGGCCAATCTCCCTGTGGCTGAACCATAGAACACCCAACACAGTGGGCATTGTAGTTAATGTTACTCCAAGGTCTGTAGTAGCCAACATAGCTAAGAAATAGTACATGGGCTCATGGAGGTTATGGTCATCCCTAATGACAAAGAGAAGAGTACCATTGCCAAGCAGTATGCAGATATAGGCCACCAGTAATGGGATGGAGATCCAGAGATGTGCCTTCTCCATGCCTGGGAAGCCAGTAAGCAGGAAGTGGGAAGCAGTGGTGTTGAGCCACATCACCAGAGCTGTCAAGAGGGAAATACTCCCTTCAGTTAACAAAATAGAATCTAATTCTTTAGAAGTTTCCGTTTGAGAATGCTACCTATTCATAAGATGTCCACCAGTCCTGACTTCCAGCAATAGCAAGGATGGTAACTTAGTCATTCCTGGGAGATTCCTGGGTGTAGAAGAATAGAATTATAAATAACAACTCTACATATTATTCAGAATTTACTATATGTAAGGTTATTAGAGAATACACCAGAGATACAGCAATGTACGCAGAGTAGACTTTGTCAATGTTCTTATAAATCATATAACCCCCCAAATGAAGACAAAATGAAAGAAAAAATCACTATATTTGAATAGTGCTATAATGGCTTAGAACTTACAGGGTGTTTTTCATGGTGCTTTTCACCTTGACTTATGGTACTGAGGGTGGATATAAGGTTTCCTAGAGAATGCCAGACCTAAAAGATCTGTAGAAAAACAGCTCTAAGCAAGTTTGTTTGATGAGTCAGTATGAACATCCTGTTGCAAAACAAACAAATAATATATCAAAATGAATAAATAAAATAAATGACACTGTAATTTAATTTGAAGGATTGACTATATTCAGGATAGAAAATTCAATTGATGAAACTGGAGACTTTCGAACACAATATGACACAAATTTAACTTAAATATGTTCAAATACATAAATCTCTGTCACCTAACTTCATGGCCTGAGTTATTGATGCCCTGTTCAAAAATTCCTAATTTCATAATGTAGATACAAATGACTAATTTAATGTAGATTTTATGATAAGGGTTTGAGGACACCATTTGATAATAGTACCAAACTACCATAGTATATCAGCTATTTGGAGATGCAATGATATAAAAATTTGTTATTTAGGTAAGCTCAAAGAGAGTATTTTTTAAAGCTATGGAGTCTGGTGAGAATTAACTAATGTCAGAAGGCCCTGTGACTCGCTGGAACTCTAAGGTATCATCTGGTGCAAGCAGCCAATCTCTGAGGATAGATTATGCACTTACTGATGTTGTGAGCCAGAGAAAATGGGGCCACCTCTGAGGTAGTTATTACAGAGGGAGCCTCCTTGCTCTCTACCTGGGGGTTATATCAGGATTGTTCATGATAAGATGTGTCAAATGATCCAATTTTCTCAGGAAGCCTTGGGAACAGATGTAGGATGATGATGAGTTTCTGAGGACTCTTGTCTTTGATTGTGAATGAAAATATTAAACTAGAGTTTCTGTAAGCAGCAGGGAAAAGGTGCTGTGTCTAGGTAACAAAGGGAAAGGAGAAAAGAGTAATGAATAATCGTGGGCACTTCTGACATAGCTTAAGAAGACATTGAATCTGGAGCATTGGAACTCAGGGAGGCTGGGAGAAAAGCAATTCCATATTCAAAATATTAGAACAGGAGGAATAGAAAAACTAAATCCTGCATGTTAGTGAAAGGTTCAGAAAAACACTCAACTTACACAGAGTCAAACAAAACAGGAGTGGCAAATAAAGATGTTATACATTTGAAGTATACAATGTGATGTTTTCCCATAAGTATATACTGGGAGATGATTGCCATAATATAGTTAATATAAACATCACTCCACATGATTTCTTTCTTTCTTTCTTTTTTTTCTTGAGACAGAGTCTCACTTTGTAGCCCTTTGTAGAGTGCTGTCACAGCTCACAGCAACCTCCAACTCTTGGGCTTAAGCGATTCTCTTGGCTAAGCCTCCCAGGTAGTTGGGACTACAGGCACTGGCCAGAATGCTGGGCTATTTTTGTTGCAATTGCCACTGCTGTTTTAGCTGGCTGGGGCTTGGCTCGAATCTGCCACCCTCAGTATATGGGGCCAGTGCCCTACCCACTGAGCCACAGATGCTGCAGCACATGATTTCTTTTTAAGATTTTTGTTTTTTGTAGTGAGAATACATATGGTAAGTCCCCCTTCTTATCAAATTTGAAGTACACTTCCATAAAGCTATTGGGGGAGGGGAGATAAGACAGACTATTAATATAGTGAATTGTGTTATATTAATAATAAATAAACACAATAGATGATGTGGAGAAAGAAGGGAAGAAACAGTAGTGAGAGAATCAGCTGGGGAATAGAAAGCTGAGAAGCAAGTGTAAAGTATCCATAATCTGAGTTTTCAACACGTTCTTCATGTCAAGTTCTACACTGGGGCTTTACAGTCACCTTATTTTTATTGTAGATTCCTCACAATAGTCCATTTTCACCATTTTACATTGTCATGTAGTTATGCATGGCCAAGGCCACCCATTACTCAAATACAGAGCCTTCATTTTATCTATTAGGGACCAGGAAGATATTAGACACGGGTGAGATTCCCGTAGTATTCAAAAGTACAATGAGTTTGCTGTCTCTTTCTCTTTTCTGTTTTCATACTGAAAAAGTGAGTATGAAAAAGTGAGTATTTTATTGGCTTTATTCAGCTGCTTTTGTAGTTTATGAGATAATCTGTGAGGGGTTAAAAAATCCAAGATTGTTGGTTCAACCTTGCAGCCACCAATCTTCTCCCAGTGTCATTTCTTAATGTAGACTTGCGTTTTCATTAATGAGAAGCTAATTTCCAGAATCTCAAACACTGCCTTGTAAACTGAGGCCCATGCTGACAGTCCAGAGAGAGCCCACTCAGACTCTCACCTCTTCTGTATTCTCTCACTTTCCCTGGGACTGTTTCCTTCACTTTGCCTGACACTCTCCTCCCTCTGACACACTTAACCCCTCTCTCCACTTTTTATCTTCTAACCTTTGTTTTTTTAATCTGTCTTTTTGGATCGTTCAAACTTATATTTCACTCTTCAATGTATCTTATCTACCATAGCTTCATTCCCAATACTTAAATCGTTGATACAGTCCCTAGCACATAATTTGTGTTTTTTTTTTCTTCAGAATCCTTCACTGATTGGTTTATCTACATGTACAAGCCGGTTTTCTGACTATTTGCATCCCTGGCTTTGAGCAGGGTCTCAAGCCATAGAAGAACATAGAGATTGATACACCCCACTCAGTGGTCTATTCGCTCTAATCTAGTATCATAACTACTAATCCCAAGCACCTGGAGATGCCCTGAAGGTCCTTATAAGGGATCCAGAAATAAAAATTTGACCCTATCTTCAGTTCAGGAGGTGTTCCCTGCCTATTATGCAATATAAACTTTTCCAGGTGCTGAAAACTATCTCTTATCTAAAGTCACTTACATGCCAAGTTCCATCTAAGTTTAATTTTGTGGTGTTTCATTCTCATGGATATATGGAAATATTTTTCCAGAAAATGCTTAAAACTGATAAATAGAAAGCTATACTGCCTCAGAAATTTGGGAAAGAAATCTATTTTTGGAACTTATCTGGACTTCTAAGGGCAGGGGCAATGGAGGTAGGGTGAACCCAGGGTTAGAATAAAAACCAGAGAGATTAAAATCTCAGACAGGAGGAGAGAGAGAAGGCCAATGGTATAATTTATGCCAGACTTCACATCCATTCCCTGATTTTCGCCCACATTGTCATTTTCATCATGCGATGCAGAACCCATCCCTGATCTTATTTTATGCATTTAAAGAGGTAACCCTTAAACCAAGTTTTAGAGATGTCTGGGTGTCTTTAGGATCTGTAATTATCCATCTACTCTTAACAGATAAATCTCCAACTTTTCTCCTGCTGACAAACCAGCTTCCTTATTGCCTGCCCTGCTCCGCCTTGGTGCCTACCAGGTAATCTGAGAGAGAGGATTCATTGAATACTTCCACTGACCTGAAATTTTGCTCTCTCCCACTCTTCAGTTCCCTAGTCTTGAATCTCATATCTTTAGTCTGATGAAGGATTGGGTCACATCAGCTTTTCAGCCTTCCACACAAAAGGCTCTGGCTGGCAGGAACATATTTATTTTAGAAGCTCCTCCCTAGGGGCCATTCCTGATTTAGATATTCGTTGCCCCTCCTGCCCTCCCTTCTGGTTTCTTCCTTCCATCTTTTCCTTCCTTATTTGTACCAGCAGGCCTCACGGGCATTGGGCTTTGATCAGCCTGCTTAAGATCTTTGTCTATGTCCTAGCTTTCAAGCTCTGTTGCTAGGAGACTGATTAATATCTGCCAGGATATAGAAGCAAAAGTAGACCAGTCAGGGATCCAAAATGAAACAGAGTTGCTGGAGAACACGATTCCTCAGCTGTCTTTGAGAACTCCCAACCCTTGTCCCTAAAATAAGGAATGTGCAGACATTAGAGAGTAGAATGTCTGTTTCGGTAAAGTTACCCCACTGCTTTTTCCTCAGTGTAGATATCTGACTGCAATGAGAATCTAGAGTCCTGTCTCACAGATGACGATCTCAGAAAAGGGGAGCAACATTTTTAGTCCTTGGTTTCCCCTTACCATTCTCTCTTTGTCCTCCATCCCCACATCTTCGTACAAAGAGAGGGCAAGGGTAGCAGTCATGTTTCATTAAATGATGAGTAAGGTATAAGGATGGGAATCATAATGCCAATGTCCCAGAGGCCTGGCGTCCTACTCTGAATGTTGGAACTTGAATACTTCATTTACATTGCGCTTCTGGCTCTTGCTGTGCCACTTTGAAAATGTTACTTAATCTCATTGTACTTCAGGTTTCTTATCTCTAAAATGCATATGAAAGTTGGCATTGCATGAAGTTATTGTGAGACTCTAGTATACTTAAAATGGTACTCTGAGTTTGATCAATAGTTAATATCAAATATTTTTACCTTTTTCGTAAACAAAATTATTTTTTAATAATTGTTTGTATTTGGACTATTTTCCCTCACCAAACAGTGAATTATTTGGAAAAGAGACTCTATATTTTATAATTTTATGTCACAAATAAGCCAGGGCATCACTTTCCTAATTTCTCATACTGGAGATAAATGATCTTGCAGGCAATTTTATGTTTCTCTGATTGATGGAGAACAATTTTCACTTCTAGTTTAAAATTGCTGTCACTCTTTTATCTAGTAAAGAGATTTTCTTAACATCTAC